GGGGGGCGGGGGAGAGAACGGGATCTATCATCTGCGGGTCTGACTCAGCTCGGGTGTGTGTGTGGGGAGCATGTGTGGGGAGCCATGGGGAGCACGGGGAGCTCCCCTTGGTGTCCTCCTTTCACTGTCTGGCATTGTTTGGGGGGGTGGGGGGGGGGGCACCTGCCGATGGGTGTCCTCACAACGCCGGGCGTTGGAGTGTGTGCTGGCGGGGCGAGTCGAGAGAACGGGGAAGGAAACAGAAGGCTGAGGGAGCACAAAGGCACAGAGCGCAGACAGGAAGTGAGTCCAGTTCGCCCGCTCGGCTCTCAAATAAGACTGTCCTTGTTTCGCCGCTTACACACACGCACACGCACACACACACACACACACACACACACACACACACACAGGGATGGCGAGGCATGCGTGTGTGTGTGTGTGTGTAATTACGCATAAGAGAATGGGAAGGATAAAGAGGGAAGTCGGAGAAAATCCTGCTTAAATGCTGACTTGACTTTGCGGCGGCCTGAATAACAGGAAGGCCGGCCTCCCCTCTGCCCGCTGCCTGGGCCCGCTCTTCTTGTTTTTGCGGCCAGGCGAGGACGTCTAAGCCATCCAGCCTTAGATGGGAGGTGGTACATCAGGGGTCCCCAAAGTCGGTCCTCAAGGGCCCCGGGGATCGGGCAACATCTATGGAGAAGTTGCAGACCGCCTCCAACTGAATCCTCATGTTCTGGCCTCAGCCCCCAAAAGCTGAGGAGGCAGAGCTTTAAGAGGACCTGGTCAGGCCTGGTCCGAGCACCGCCATGACACCAGCAGGTCATCCGCTCTCTGAAGCATCCAGAGGCCCCAAAGCCAGACACAACCAACAGCAGATGCTGCTGTTAATGTTTCAGTTGCGGAGGGGCTCATAGAACCGGGTTTTTCAGATGGTTTTTGCATTTCCAGACATCTGCGGAAATCACAACTGTCCGGAGATTCGGAGTCTCGGTCCTCTCCCAAACTTCGTTTCAGACATAGACACACACATCCAGTTGATTCAGTTGCGTACTGCTGGATTAAAAAAATATATATATTCTGTTTTTCCACTAAGGATGTAAAAAATCTGTTGATGGCTCTTTTTTTTTTTTTTATGAATCAAAACATTGCTCTGACATTATTGCAACGGATCCTTTAGAAAATAACTGGGCATGCAGGAAAGCGTGAACATAAACACTGACTTTGTGACCCCTGATACTCGGGAGTTCTCTGAGGCTCCCACGCTGCTCTCCTGACTTCCACTATTCAGCTTCCAAACCGCATTGTTTTCTGCCCCGTCAAGCCCCAACAGTCCAGTGGGAACAAAAGGTCCTCTCCCTCCCGAAGGTGTAGTGTAAACACGGAGCTGACCCAGGGCCCCGATGACTGATTGCCTACAGGAATATTCCAAATGTAACTAAGTTTGACCCTGATGGGGTGAGCTGGCCCGCTGAGGCCTGGACAAACACACGCGCCTGTTGTGTGTATACACACCTTGAGAAACCCTCTCACTCGCATTTGCAAACACATACCTCGGCACAAGTGAGCGTGGAGCACACCCACAAACACTCGGCCGACAGCTAAACATTTCCACTCAGGAGGGGAGAAGAAGGCCCGAGTGGGTGAGGAAGTTTGCAGCGACAAACATTTTTGGGAGGAAAAATTACAGAGCTACGCATTAAGAGCTCTTAAGAGCTTCCAGGAGCCTTTCTCATAATCTCCGCACAACTGTGTGAAAGTGACTGCTTTTTTGTGCAGGTTTAGAGGCCACAGTGGATCTAAAACGTGAAATGTAAAGCGCAGTGAATCCGGTCAAACTCATCCTCTGCTGACGTGTGCAGCCACATTAAAGCGCGAGTGGAGCTCCCAACTGTTCCGATCCGTGAGATGTTTTGGTCTACGGCTAGACAGCCACACTCATGTTCTACTGTAAACAAGGGGCCTTTTTTAGAGCATATTTGAATTTGAAGGCAAAACACCCAGAGGCAGTTCAGGCTTTGAGTGAGATGTGGGGTCCTGGTGTTGTGTCTGGGGGTTTCTCACCTGTTGCTGATACATTCTTTTAGCTCTGTGGTCCAGGAGCTGACCTGCTGGTCGTTGTCTGTCTCAAATATCAGACTACCTCGATTAACCTGCAGGAAGAAAGGCAGCTAAGTTAAAGGTGGAGGAGAACACACGATGCTGGTAGGACAACCGTATGAACAGGGGGAAAAAAACCCACCGTACAGTCTGCATCATCTGTGAGAGCAAAGGCTCCCTGCGTACTAAACACTGCGCTGGTCTTTAAGGTTTTCGAGCCCCCTTTTAAAGGATGAGTCCGCACATGTTTCCCATGTGACACTTTGATGGCAGCAGGGTTAAACAAGGGCAGAGCTTGGAGGCTGCGTACCATGATGGTAAGTGAAGAAAAATTGGTTTAAAAACTTTAAAAACGTACCTTTAAAACAAACGTGTTTAAGTTGTCGGGCATCTCCAGTCGGTTGCATCGGCGGACTTCTTTGATATCTGAGCAGTTCGTCGTCAGTTTGGGGCTGGAGGCCTGAAACACACAGGGACAACATCACTCCTCTCCTTCCGAAGAAGAAAAAAACAACAAAAAAAACACGAGCGTTCCAGTCGAGCCTAGGTAATGGGAGCTGCATTTAGAAAGAGAAAGAGCCATGAGCATGTTGACCTGGAGCAACGCACTGTTATTCAAAGACACTGGGATGTTATTTCTGGAAGACAACAACAACAAAAAAAGAATGCATTTCTCTGCTTGGCCTCGAATATTTTCGGAAAGCTACTTCTTGTCAAATCTTTCTTGATGACTCATCCCGCCTGCAGGAGGGGCCTGTGGACCTGGACGAGCTGCCCGGCTGGGACACGTATTACTCAAAGGGGGTGATGAATTAAGCCGCGGATACCGCCGGACGCGGCTTATCTGTGAGGGCAAAGCAAATACTGTTCATGGTCTTTTACACAGAAATAATGAGGAGCAGATGGTCCAGGGTGAGCCTGGAAAGCAGAGCTCCCTCCTCGGCTCGCCTCGGCTCCGTGTGAATCCTCTGAAGCCGTCCCGACTGACAGAAAATGTGAGTTGTGGGAAGCATGACTGGAGCTCTCGTGGCGGCGCTCCAAGCTCTGCCACCCTCCTCCCCCCGTTCCCTCCCCATCGGGACAGGCTGTTCATTTGAATAAAGTTAGCTGACAGAAGAGGGGCGTCCTGGTGGCTGCTTGACCTGGGGGAGCGTGACGCGTGACCGGCCGGCCGGTCGTCACGAGACCGTCCGGGGCCCCCGAACCTCGCTGGACCGGGTGATAAACATATGTGCCGAAACTAATCACCGAGCAGCCTCCAAAAGCCCCCCTCATACGGAGCGCTAAAAAGGGCCGCCGGCGTAAACACACGCGGGCCGCCGCGCACGGATGGGTGACCGGCTAAGCCATGTGCAGAGAGGCCTGCGGCAGGCCGGGTCAGGAGTCCCCTCGGAAGGGCGGGCCGGGCGACAGCTGACACAAACATGTTGAGACAAAGAGAGTCAGCGACTATTAGCGCCGCACCACTTTGAGGAGGGGTGCGTTTGCACGATGCGTGTCAGATAGGCGCCTATACGGCGTTTATTATTCAGCCTGCCGTCGGAGCAGAGGCCTCTTTGATTCCACACGAGCCGGCATCTTTTCCAGAGAAGATCCACGGAAACTACAAATGTAGGGTTTTGATTTCAGTGTTGAAAACGGCTGGAAAAATCAAGTTTCAGTTCATCTATGAAACTTTATTAAATCAAAAACCGTTAATCACAGATTAATTAAGGACATACAAATGATAAAACCTGCTGTAAATAGGTTAGATGTGCATGCTTCTGGGCATTCATTTGTTGCTTTGAAGCACAGAAGCGTTTTTAAACCCATTTATCTGGAAATCTTCATCGTGCCAGTGAGAGGAAACTGGACAAAGAACCTCTCCATGTTTCAGAATCAGAGTCTGACCTCAGTCAGGAAAGAATGAGGCATTAAAAAACTGCCCTGTGGTGTGGCAAAAATAAAAAAAAAGTTCAATTTTGTTTGGAAATGGAGTGCCGGGAGGAGAGGGACCACCCATCATCAAACAGACTGAAGGCAGGGGCTTTTGTGGGCAGACTCTCAGCATCTCCACGGATAATTCAGTTTGGGTCAGTTGCTGTTGTTTTTTTACTAAAATGGAAAAGAGTTTGCAAAAACCCTTTACTTTGTGAGGATTAGCCCAGCATCAGGACTTCAGCGTCTGGAGTCTCATAACACAACTACACTAACTAAACTACTAACCCCCCCAAACAAACACAGCACGCAGAGGAAGCTGACAAGATCAAATGCTGTGGGTCAAACGACAGAGCAGCGGCAGAAGGAAGCGGAGCGGGCAGTGGAAGGCTCGGCGCTGGGTGGGCAGAGCGGGAGGGATGGAGGACGGATTCCAGGGCTTTGTGCACCCGATGAGTCTGACTTCATGTGACAGTGCGTGAGCCCGAGGAATGTCTCTGCTAATCCTGCACAAGCTCAGGAAAAAACAGGCCGGAGTGTGCACACATCAAAGGGAGAGATTTACACCCTCTCCTTGGAGGTCCTGACGCTGTGCGGGGGTCAATACAGATGCGACCACGCGGGGGGGGGGGGGGGATGAGACTCGTTTGGGGACGGCTGAGTCAGCCGATGAAAATGAAAAATCTGTTCTTTCGTCCGATTCAGGTTTGAGAGAAAAAAAAAAAAGACTTTCCGATGACTTTGCAGAAGGATGGAGATAAAGCAGCAGAAGATCTGAGTGAGGACTTTTTCTAAGAAAGAAGGAAAACCAGAAACGCGTGCAGAAGCAGGTCGGCTCCGCTCACGTCTTCACACCCGGTCGGGCCACTTACTCTTTCCTTGAATTTCTCATTATTGTGTCTGAAATCTGCTGCGTTCACATTGAAACCGCTGTGAAGATGTCAGACGAATGAGGGGCAGCCTCACTCATCTGTTGATCATACTATATGGAACTATCAGAAACCTTCATGTGAGCTTAACTCAGGAAACATCTGGCGTCTGGACAGATGTGGGATCGGCTGCTGCGGCGTTTTAACGGGCCGCCAGACGTATCGATCAGGCCCGACAGCGAGCGGCTGATAAACCGTGGTCCCTGCCCGACTCTGAAATCTCGGTTGGAGCCTCGGTGTCATAGCTGCTCCGGATGTGTGACAGCTAATGAGATCAGCCACTCTCGCTCTGCGTGTACGCCGGGGTGCACTGGAGCTCAATGACTCATTGAGAGGAATTTATTGTGAAAATGTGAATGGGTTTCTGAATAGTAAGAGCATCTTTGAGGAACCGTTTCAGCCCTGCGAAATAAAAGAAAAACAACACACACACACACACCCATTTAACAGATGTCTGCCGGGGTTGAGCAACAGCTCAGCAGGCCTGACTTCTGTGAATCAGCTCTGTCTGGGGAGCCAGCTCCAGGCTCCCAGCACATTTCCTACATAGCGAACTGTACTCTGCAATGCCCCCCGGAGAAAGACGCACACACAGGAAGCCACGTGCACGAAACAGGCCTCAGACCCTTATTTCTTATGTCTGTATGTAAAAGCCTCGGCTTTATCGACACGTAGGGTTAGTTTCTTATCAGGCACATCTCAGTGGAAGAGTTTAGAGGCAAACAAAACATAAAGAGGTGCACCGTGGATGAAAAGAGACAGGCAACTTTAGCAGCAACGAAGAAAACTAAAGTCCACTCGTGGAGCAAGAAAGATGTAGAAGAATGAACAGATAGAAAATGAATTAACAATAAGTTACAGGAGGATTACAAAAATGAGGACCGACGCTGAATGGAAGATGATAAACTACATACAAAGCAACTCAAACAGGATGAAAAAAGCCATGTCAAACCTTAGAAGACCAGGGCAAACTGCTCATTATCTATTCAGAACCAGCTAGTCTGCAGTGTTCTGAGATGATTGAGCACGAAACAAAAAAACAACAATAATGTTCATGTAATTACATTTAAAAAATAGGGGACATATAAATGAGTTATAACACAAATGAAACTAAACCAACCAAAGCAAACACAACATCAACGTCCTCTACATACAGACAGACACACACAGACCCAGATTTACTGAACCACGAAGTACGTCTGATCCAGCCTGTTGGTACAGTTAAGGGTACAGTTAAACCCCCGGTGAAGCTTTTCTTATCCAGCAGTTCACTTCGGGCCAACAGCGGCTCCTACAGCCTGCAGGCCGGGTTAGACGGGCCCCGGTGGGGGCCTCAGTCTAGAACTCAAACTGCAGAAGGATCGGCTGCACATCTTAACCGGCAGCTTAAGAGGAATGAAAAATACAAAACTATGCCCATTAATCCTCAGTTTGGTGAAACAGGGCGCTGCAATATGAACCCCGGCTGACTTCTCGGTTTTCATGCCAGCGCCTTCTCGGATTGACTCAACTTTCGGTGCTGTGTCTCCTCTTCAAAAAGGAGACGCAGACAAATACCGCGAATGTGAAACAGACGTCGGCCCGACCTGGTGTCTGGGCTCAGAGCATCTCCAAATCAGGAGACGGGCACGCCCGGCGAGGGGCTTTTATTTTTTGCATCTGTTCCTGAGCGCGTTTGCAGGTCACATCTGTCCTAAAAAAAAACCGAACCGGGACCGAACCGGCTCTGCACAGGTCTCCACACAAGGCGGCAGCAGGCGTAAACAACCAAACAGCAGGCTCACTGAGACACGTCCACAGATGCAACCATGCAACCTCTCACCCACACTATCATAAACACAACTACACTCTGAGAGCACACACCCACACACGGGTGACACACAGGATGTTTGGAGTCTAAAACAATCTTCCCAGGGTCCCTTTCTCAAGGCCGTCGCCACGGCAACCGACTGACACTCAACATTCCTCTATCCCTCTGAGGGTCATCGAAGCCAACACTGTCCGGGGTGCACGCATGTGTGTGTGTGTGTGTGTGTGTGTTCCGGACTGATATTAGATTCTGCAGGATTCTGGAAAGTGTGTATGTAGTCATTCATCTCTCTCTCTCTCACACTCACACACACACACACACACACACACACACAAACATGGACCTTTTAAAGACATGAGAGCACCACCCAAGAGAGGAGGCCAGGACCTCGATCACAGCAACAAACACATCTGTCTGTACTTCCCCCGACTTCAGGTTGGGATCATTGATGCATCTCTCTTGTTTTTTTGTTTTTTTTTCCAGAGTACTTTAGGGGCAAGCCTGGTTAAATTCCAATCCGAGGCCGACACCGAAAAAGAACACTGCCCTAAGGGGCTCATCTCTACACCAAAAGCACTAAAACCCATCGATAAAGCACACCAACTGATTTGGCCCTTTTTCGCAAGGCTAAACATTCCGATGCAACTAGCTGAGGAATTTAAACCCAGCTTCCCCTCCGTGTGCGTATGCATAGACGGGAAAGCCTCTCGTAGTTTCTACTCTAATATAACAGAGAGACTGACTCATTTCACGCAGCCTGCGTCTAACAGCTGAGGACAGCAGAGACGTTTTACATGATGTGAATGAATGTTTCTGAAAGCTGTGTTGACACATCAGGAGAACACGCAGACGACAGCAGCCTCATGTGTTTCAGATGCATCAGGATTTATTTGCCCGGGCTGTTTGCGTGCATTATATCGTAGTTTTAAATCAGAAGAGTGCAGAAGCCTCTTGTTGCAACATTTTTTACTCTTCTCTAATTTCCTGCCACTTGAAAAGGAGCATTACAGTTTAATTGATTTGCTGGTTGGTTTTAGTGTTAATAAAATAGCTGAGAATGAAGCAGTCTAATGTTTGTGGTGACCGCTGCTCCATGTGGACGTGCGCTCTGGGTTATTTTTTACTCGTTCGTGTTGCAGGGTAGTTTTTTTCGCAGATCTGCATAAACTCGAGTCCCTTTTGAGGAGAGCTTTGACAACGTGCGCAACTGCAGCTGACAGTGGTGAGCTGCAGCAGCTTGACTCAACCACCTGTTGCTTCTGAACTGCTGCCTCAGAGCTAGACGATTTGAGCCCGGCTCGCTCATGACTCTGCTTCATGTGGGGTTTAACTGTCCACGCAGACAGATCTGAGACGCAGCGAGAACACAATACACTTATGATCAGTTTATCCACAAATAAACAGCTCTGAAAACAAAAATAAAGCATAAAAAAGCATGAAAACGGAGACTCTGGTTGGTATTGTTTTGCTCAAGGAATACTCCAACTGTTCTACAACAGGCTTTTAGATTTAGTTAATGTCTTTGATCTTTGAGATTGCATATTTTTCAGATGCATCATCGTTAATTTCTCCACTGTGAGATCGATAAAGTCTATCTTTATCTTTATAAAGTCATTTGAAAGCATATTTCCAGTCAGTAAAGCTCCGAAAATGACCTTTGCTCACAGTAGATTATGGTATGTGCTTTTTGGGTGGAGTGTATGTAACCAGGACATCACTAAAGCTGATCACATTCAAAATAAGCTCTATCTGTGGTATCATAGAGGATGTGGGAAACAAACACACACACACTGAGCAGCAGATGTGGGGTTACTAACACTGATAGAGATGACTTTGTTCTTGGAAACCTGTCAGAGGCTGTCAGAGATGAAGCCTTCTCTCATGAATAAATGTGTCACTTGTAGTGCTGCCCTCCTTCCATACTTCTCAGAAATACTGATGTATGAGCCAAAGATGAAAAATCGAAGGCAGCAAACTTAAGATTCACAGAACTCAGAGCAGTTCCCCGTACATCAATTAGCTGACGTGCACGTAAGAGGACCAATTAGCGATCCACATAGACCACAAGAAAAAAATGAAAAAGCAGAACAGTTTTAAAAATAAAAAAGGCACTTTAGATTATCAAGAGAAGCAAAATGAAGATATAAAGGCCAGAAAATCAGATAATTACAATCTAATAAACTCATTTCACAGAGCCTGCATCTAACAAACAGCCGAAAACAGAAAAGACTTTTAACATAGAAATGGAAATGAATGTGTGACAAATCAGGAAGAATAATTAGAAGAAAGGAAGCGGTTAGGGCACATAGCAGCACTGATGGTGTTACATATCAGGCTTCTGAACATATAAGGGACTCAAGCTTTGCTATGGTCACTGTTAGTGGGAAGGAAAATAATTCAATTTTGTGTGTTAGAAGCGTTTGTTGTGGCTGTCCTGTGGCCTTAAATCTAACTGTGTCTGAGGCATCCAATACATGTCCAAACTGTGGGTTCCTCCCTTCCCTCTTTTTTCCTATCATAACAACCATCAACAAATTCAAGGTAAAAAATATCCAGAAAAATAGAACTTAAGCGTTGTAACAGGAATACTTAGTGTGAAAATTCCCTCCAAAGGAGGATGTCAAACTGGATTAATTCCGTCCAGGATTGCGCAGGCGAGTAAAAATCGACATATGTGAGGCTGAGTGTGTCAGTTATGGGTGTGTTGTGTGTTTCCAGTAACTGTGCGCATGGGGTAAAGTAAACTGATTTTTTTTTCTGCCTCTTTCCCAATCGTTATCTATAAGAGACAAACACCTACTGTGGAGCGGCTATTCCACAGATTAGTCCAAATCCAAATGCTCAGCCGTGGCAATTTGTGCCTCGTTTTGTTTGTATGTCTACTAACACATTTGCACATCCAAACTTCTTGTGGATATGTCAACAAGGTTCTAAAATACATAACTTGAGGATAGAGATTCAACTTATGTTTGCATTAAAAACAAAAAAAGAGCAAGCAAATCAAAATGAACCCGATAAGCTTATGAAGAAATATGGCCTCTAAAACTGACAGCAACAGCATGGAGACAAAACAATATGAGATTTGGATATTCATCTCAAAGCCATGTCAGAAAAAATAGGCAGCATTCATTTTAGAGCAAGCAGCTTTTGAAGTTCGTGCAGGCCTGCTGCAGTCCTCTGTTTTGTCTAACCTAATGAACTGGAAGCGCGGCGAACATGCTCAACCAGAAAAGATAAATCTCACCCCTAAGTAGGTTAGTTCGAGCAAATCAGAGGGGGACCGACGCGGTAAACAAAGCTGGCATCTGAGGGGGAAGGCACGCTGCGGTGCTGGCTGCAGCGCAGGAGAAAAATGGCTCAGCAGGCGAGACGTGACCTTTGAGTAACTCATCAGGGAGGGAGGGAAAGTTCCTGTGCGAGTCAGAACTTCAGCTAAAGCTTTGTGGAGCCGACGGTGAGCTACCCCAAACAAACTCGTGGCTCCCTGACAGCCGAGACCAGACAGCCTGATGTTTGAATTCATTTTCTTACTTCTGCATCTGTATCCGCATCTCAGCCTCAGCGTGCAATAACTAATAACTCCAATCTGCGTGTGAGATACCTGATGCAAACATTTCAGCTCGGTAAAATAGTGACATGAGACAGTGTGTTTTCAGGTGTGTGTGTGTGTCTCAACTCTCAAAGGCTGATGAAGAAAAAGGAAAAAAAGACCAAGAGAAAAGTGTTCAGCGAGGGTGTTGCACAGCCCGGGGGCTTTCCATACACTACTCAGCAAGGTCATGTGTATTGGCATTGTGGTTGTAGGTTGCACGAAGACACACACACACGCACGCACGCACGCACGCAGACACACACACGTACACATAACAGATCGGCAGAGAAGTGATGACAGCGATAAAAGGACACATTCAAGCGCAGGATGAAATCAAACATTAGTAATCGGCCGGAGAGAGGAGCCGTGAAACCGCGTGACGACCGACGCGGCACATTTTTCATTGGAGCCGGCGTGGGGGGGGGGGAGAGCAGCGTGACAGCCTCCTCTGCAGCCGGGGCCACGCCGAGCCACGAAGGAGGCGGCGCGGGAGAGCTGACAAACATCTTGACCACATGACTCCGAGGCGCTCGACTTCCTTTAGACGTTCCTCTTAAAAAAATAAAAAAATTCTGTCACACTGAAGCGCTCACGAGCAAAGACGCGTGCGTTTTTCAGCCATGTGAGGCAGGTTTTCCACTCCGTCTGAGAACGCTCTCGGCTTCCTCGACACACGAGCCAAGAAAGACAAAAACGCACAGATGTGGCAAACGTGCAGAGCTGCAGTAAACTTTATCACCCGTGTTCTCCGCTGCAGATGAACTCATCTGCCTTTGATGCTCGTCCTTTTTTTCTCTTCTTGAAATTAACAAATGTTTACCCCCCTTCCACAGTGCCGAAGGCATGCAAATGGAGTGATGACACAAAATCTCTGTTGATGTCGCCTTTACAACGTGGCATCTTTCATTTGTTCAATCAGCCATTTTTTCCTCAGAAAAACCTTAATGAAGAGCTAGAAAAGCTATGCAACTACTTCTCCAAAACCTCTTTGGAGGTTGGAGGATGTTTCCATGACGGCATGGTGTTCGAGGGTGGTGTCCAGCTGGAGTAGAAGCACTAGGCTCCTCATACAGCCTGCCCACAGCAGCTCATTTAAGTTGACACGCGGCCAATAACCCATCGATCTGTCAAAGCTGACTACATCTGAGAGGTTTCATTTCTTTGAAGCTTTTAATATTGCTGCTTTCCTTGGAAGTTTGTGGGTTTCAGCTCGAGCGGATCTTGCTCTGAGTCATGATAGCCCTGATAAGAGTCATCGCTGCTGTCTAAGACTAAACACTGACTCTCTATTCAGTCCTAATTCCCCGGTAGCTGACGAGCCTTCGACGCAACTGAAGTAGCGTTGAATTGTTTTCATTGGTTTGCAGCCCGCTGCACGGTATTGCTTTCTGCCCACTTGCACGGGAGAGCTTGTGCCTGCTTTTCCCCAAAAAACTACACAGGATTTTCCCATGACTGAGAGTATTTCCACCACAGCCGGAACTCGGCACCTCTCGCTGGCACTCTTAGTTCTCAGTGAAGTCCCCTGAGTTATGAATTTCAGAGAGTACAAAACAAGACTTCCAGGTGATGGCCCGTGACATATGAACCATTCAGCCAAAGTTTTCTATTCAGTTTTTGTTTGGACTCTGTTAGACGTGTTGAACTTTAAGAACTTTTGGGAGCCTGTAGCTTGTGAACATCTACAACAAATATTTGGTTTGCTTCTACTGATCAAAATCCTGTATATATCATCTGTAAGTGCCGGCCATAATATCCACAAAATAAAAAAGTCTGGAAAGACTTACTGTTTGGGTATTTGTTTGTCAGGTAGATGACCAGTTGTCAATGCCATGATTGCGGGGGCTGAGGATTTTAGTTACTCTTGTTGCCATAGAGGAAATAAAGGCCAAAGGATTGTTAGACAGTAGTTTTTGTTGTTGAGTGTAAATGAAACCACCTTAAAAGCTGCAAAACATAGATACTAGATCATTCAAAAGAAACTAGCACACGAGATTCCGTCCGCCTGGGACCCGTCCTGCAAGGGGTCACGGTCTGATGAGCTTGTTTCCCATGTTTAACACATTAGACAGATTAACCCAGAGAAACTAAATCACAAAACTTCAGTGGCGAAGATGACCAAAATGGAGTATCCAAATGAGTCATGGGGGTCAAACTGGTCCTCTGCTTTTTCTGCTAAAAGCGAGAACTCTGTTAAACGATATTCGTGCTGTGTGTGTGCGTGTGTTACACACACACACACACTCGGTGAATACAGCTCTGAAATATGCCTGTGCTCCCACTCACAGTAGGTGACTGGGTCGCTTTCGGGCTGCATTTCTAGGTGTCGTGAAACTCGATCCCTGGAAAGAGTAAAAGATCTGACTTTTGTGGGTGAGATATAAAGAGTGCTGTGATCAAAAATGAAACCGTCTCTGAAGACACAATCTGTGCTGTGTGCAGGCTGCCGGCACACAGCGGGCCAAAGCGGCCGCCTCGACGCTCAGCAGAAGGACAGAAATGAATGATACAGCTGATGTTTGGTGGGTAACCGAACCAAATCAGTCCATCCATCAAAGGCCATCAATGGCTCTCTTATTGGTTTTGTCCCTCATGTGATTTATGAGCGTTTGGGTGCTGGAGGCCCGGCAGTTGCGAGCAAATACAGATATGTAAAATAATGAACTAATACCAGCATTTAAGCACATTAGCCAGGGACACGCTGGAATGAATAGCTGTGGTAAAACTTTCCACAGTGCAAACGACCCTGGAGAACTGGGGGGAAATCTCTGGAAAGACACAGAGATTTTTGGCCAATCACTTTTCATTTCTTTCAACTTGTTGAAATTAGTTTTGCTCGATGCGAGAAAAAATGGGTTTGAATCGTTTTGATCAGACAGGCCGAGTTTACGTCCCCTGCGTGATTTGTTGTGCCGTGAGTGGGTCCTCTCTCGTGTCTCCCGCTGTTGTTTGCCATGTCTCCTTTTGATTTCGAATCGTCTCCCGTTCGGCCGACTGCGACCCATGTGCTGGGAGCTTTAGTTGTGGTATGAGCCAAATTAACACTGTATGTTGCCATATGAGAGCCTGCAGTACGACGCGTAACGCAGAACAGATGGACACCAGTGTCTGCTTGTTTGAAAATGATTTTCCACTGATGCTGCAAACGCCTTTTACTGTAACCCGGAGAGAAAACGGCGAAAAATAAAACTCCAGCCTTGCTGAAACACAGCTTGGATGTATAAACATCTGACAGACCTAAATGCATTTTGACTCATTTATAACCCCGAATCTGTTTGTTTATCGTGGCACAACTTCACGGTTGATTTTTCAAAGGGAGCTTGACACTCAAAAAGTATTTTCTTTGATAAAAAGTACTGCGTGAACCTGATTAGGAGAGGACAAGCTCTTATCACATCAACGTACATGGAAATGTCCCATCAGAATGTGTGCGAGTCCTCGGCAAAAGCACAAACACACACACACACAGACTGGGAAGAGCGAACTCCAAAAGCAACATGACACACAGTGTAGGCACATGCACACACAAGCATGAAATGAAACCATGTGGGAAAGATTAAGGCTGGAAGGGCTGGAACAAACACATGCAAAAGCACAAACACTCACGCACACACGCGGCTGAAACAAGAAGAGAGGGGTATGATTAAGATGAAGGCCGCAGGAGGTCTGAGGAAGCATATCAGACTCGAGCAGTCTGTGGGAACCCAAAATGATTTTCCTGGCAAGGCGTGTTAACCTTGTCTGTAACTTTTTACTCCTGGACGTCCAATGAAAGGGGAAACTGGGGCTTACTGTTTAAAACCAGTAGAGTAGAAGGCACCAAACCCAAGATATGAAAAAAAATATCATCTTAAATTACCTTAAAACGAGCTAAAGGGATGTTGAACAAACGTCACACCGAGACAAAAATATTACAACTCAGTGTGTCCAGATCAAAGCCGATGTGATGGACTGAGAAAATATTGAGAATGTCAGGGTTAAGAGTCAGTCAACACTGAGGACACTGTGGAGACTTCTGCTATTTTCAGCTGACGAGACAGGAGTCGCTTCTGTTACTAAATAAGAGATTGCATTCTTATGCTGTCGATTCATCTAGAAAAACAACGCGGGGACAGAACCCTGCAGAGTAACCCCTGCTTATGAGTGGGAAGTAACACCAGCAACTTGATATAATTTTTCACGACAACGCAAACGAGTACGAGAAGTGTGAGGAGGAATTACAGCTTGGCCTCTCACCCATTTCATGTAGGTGCACGGTACCCCCAGCAAGGTGAACAAACAAACCGTGGGAACGCCTGACAGCAAGATGGGGCGGCTGGTTTTCTGTGAATGTATTTTCACTTCTTTCCTCTTGGAAAATAGGAAGTTGATGGTTGGTGTGAAGTACGGGTCACTGCTAATTGTCTAGTGGGATGTTAGAGGAGCTTTTTAACTTAAAAAGCAGCTGATGATACAGCCATAAAAAAACAAAAACCCTGAGCTACAAATAGCTCTCCAGTGTGAGGGTGTCTGGTAATCCTTTATTCTAAAGCTTTGAATGGAGCCCCAAAACTAAATGGTGTGGATCTTATTTCATTTTTCGCCCCATCTATGCCAACCTCTGTTCTTCCTCGTCTTTCTAAACTTACTATATTTTAGGTCTACACGTGTGTAAAAGACTTCAGATTATGTTGAAATGAAACTGCCCTCACTTTTTGATGAAATTACAAGGAAAAACTGTTTGACTTTTCCTGACAGGCGATGGGGGGGGTGCAGCATTCACAAATGACATGATGTTTGCCACTGCCTTGAATTATTTTCAAGGTTTCAAGTTTGCCAGATAAAAATAGCCCAGATAATGTAATGTGTTGCTTAAATCTGACCGTAAATTATCTTGCTGGGTTGCAGCGTTCCTTACAGCACTAAGGGACCTACAGCTGCGCCCTGACTGCTGCTTTCTCACGCAAAGGCATTATCAGTTTCCATGCGGCTTGCTATTTTGTGCTTAATGAGCTCTTTGATATTACTTCTCACGCATAAAGACCAACACATTTAAAGGCAGAAGTAAAAATACGCTCATGGACACGCTTTTTTTTTCTGTCCAGCTGAGATGCAACAAGGCGTGAGCGTGCTTTCATACTAGTAGCCCACATATGTGTGAAAACCCATTTTACATTCAGGAGGAGAAGAAGAAAAAAGGAAATTTAGCAACTAAATCACATGGTAACAACTTATCAAAGAGCCGGCATAAAAAATAACATCTTTCAGGGTGTGGATGCATGTGGCATTTCTTAAAACATGAGCATGCAGCTCCACTGTTCTCCTTTCTTCTAAGGCCATTCTACGGATCTTACATGACTGGTCTGCCAAGATTATGTGCACACGCAAAAAAAAAAAAAAGAGAGGGTGCTGAAAACATCAATGCAGCTGACTAAAGCAGCGTTCAAAGGCCTGAATCCTGCCAATGGCTTCCCATTCAGCACAAACAAGCCTCCATGTAAACATCCACAAGTACACAAAACTCAGGGTCCGCCTTTATCTGAACTACTTCACATACATGGCTTCCTGAGGAAGTTTATTGCTTCCAAATATATAAAACAATCAAAACGCATACATGCATGCAGTGTAGTTTTCACGGGCCTCTCCGTAATAATGACGTCAAAATTTGCTCGCAACCGACCATCCAGACTAGCTGCTCTGATTACTGGGTTGGGGATATTGGGGGTCTGGGTGTGCAAGCACGTGCAGCCTTGTAGCTGTCCCCCATCTGGATATGCTGCCGAGATCTCACCAAGAAAAATAGAGAAACTACGTTTAAAAAAAAGGCTAAACAGTCAAGATTGTCTAAATGTGAGGGTCTTTTTGCTTTATGTTTTATGAGCTTTGAGCGGCTGCATTAATGAGATAAAAAGCAGAGAAGTTGTGACTGGCTGAAGCAAACCCCAAACAAACAGGAAACAGTGTGGGAGGTACAGCTACACACCAGGGTAAAACAAAAGCATGAAGGCTGCAGGGTTTTTTTCTTGTGTGTGTATTTGAGGAGAAAAATGGTGCGCAGCAAAAATAAATCAATAAACGGAGCATTTTAAAGGACATTTGCACCATTTGGAAGCGAATATTGAGAAAAAAGGCTGATCAAATCTGCCTAAAAAACATCCCTCTCTGGATGGTAAAAGAACATATAGTGCAGCTTTAACGCTCACAAAGTTTCCATTACACAAAAGTTTGACTTGACAAGATGGCTGGACACACTGCTGCATGAAAGCAGTCACTAAAGAAATAAAGTTATGATGGAAATAATAACAGCAGACGTTGAGGAGAAGCTAAATGTCATCGTAGCTTTCATGATGTTTGGTATGTGGCAAGCGGTGCACCTTCAGGTGTGTAGGAAAACAAGGCAAACACAGGCAAAGAAAAGAGACCATTTGAAAGAGGGGGGGGAAAACCCTTCCGACTGAGACAGCTTGAAACAGGATATGACTGAGTCTTTATGTGTTTACTTGTGCCCGAGTTAATTTGGAGACTGATGCACTGCATGGCAAACGTACAATAGCGAACCCTTTAATGGTTTCTGTGGGTTTCCATCTTATCGATACACACCGATCTGCAGGCCTCGTTCTGAACAGATATTAAACGCAAGATTAACAACCTGCCAGATGTTAAATGGCTCAGTGGTATGTGCAGTGGTTTCTAAGAACTAAAAGAAACATTTTGAGAAGTGCAGAAGGAATCCTGTGAAGCAGAGTCCCACGAACAATGGTGCCATCTGCACTGAGAACAGCAGTAACTGAGAACAAACAAGGTATCGATTATGAAAGCAAAGTCTCTGGTGATGTTGAACATCTGCCCCATTACACCTAAAATGCACATACAGGTGCACCTGAACATGAAAATAAGTAAGTAAGCTTCCAGAACATCAAGATTGCCAATAAGTAAAATGATGTGATCCAAATAGACAATAAAAATCAGAAAAAGAAGCTGAGTTACAGGAACAAAAGTAAAAAGGTGCAATGCTGAGATTACACAACAACCAACCAAATCTAATAATGTTTAATCATTTCCAGCAGAAAGGCTCGTATAAAGCCTTTCCAAAAAAAGAAGGATCGTCATCTGGATTTACATTCTCCGTTATAATGTTTCGTAATCAATAAGAAGCTGGCTGAACACCTGCCATGGCCTATAGTCGAGCTGGCAGTGGTCCCACAGAAAATCAACCTGAGTTTTCAGGTCTGCCACAGTCCAGCCAGGACACACCCTTCATTTAGTTATTGCACATCCACATCTACTGCAAGAACCCTAAATATATGTACAATTAATTCTCTCCAGAGCGGGACACAGAAGTGACTGCCAAGAAAATATGCTCAATGTGAGAATGCTATCTTTTTGTAATGCATGATGCAAATGATGTGCGTTCACGTGTGTGGGGTTGTGCTCATTTCCGCTTTGAAGCCAGCTTCCAGTTTTTCAACATGTATTTGGAAATGTAACTGATATTGATATCAAAGAGTTTTAACAAACATCGAACGAAAAACGTAAAACTGTTTTCAATGGTGAGAACAAATGAGTTTGTCTATTTACCTTTGGAGGGTCGTAGAGCTCCAGCTGGTACCTCTCGCCCCCTCCTCTTCCTGTGCTACTTTGTGCGTCCCTGATCCTCCTGACCAGCAGGCGGCAGCGTTGCCAGTGGGGCTGAGAGTCCGAGATAGTGTCGTCCACCAGCAAGTACTTGAGTTGACCCTCTTTACAGCAACCACTCACCTCAGGCCTCCTGTGCCTCATGCTTCGGCTGCGTAACCAGCGGAAACCATCGAGGAGCTGCGAGACCACCCCCTGGCGGTGTGAGGAAGCTAGGGGCGCCGTTTCAGAGCTCGGACAGGAGGAAGTGTGGGAGGAAGAGGACGAGGACGAGCCTTCTTCGTTGGCGGAAGAAGTTCCACCGACTCTGTCCCAGTTGTTTGCCGGATTGTTGCCGTTGCTGGTGGGGTGAGGGTTGCTAGGAGACAGGTCCTGGGACGACCGGGGGCTGGGGAGGGGCCGTTTCTTCAGGAGCCGCCTTACCGTCTGTTGGATCTGGCTGACGGAGAAGTGCGTGACGTCGGCGTGCCCCGGGCTGAAGACGGAGGAGTCGGAGGAGTAGCGCTCGGACGGCTGGTGATGGTCGGCCCCGGAAACCTCCTCGCTGCTGCGGCTGCAGGGCGCCGGCGACAGGCCCACGATGCTGCGGGATCCCGGGAAGGCGTTCCCGGCGGCGCACCTCAGCGGCTGCTCCTGCTCCCGGCTCACCACCACCGACTCCACTTTGGACACCAGCTGGGCCCCCCCACCAGGCCGGCCGGCCTCCCGATAGTCCTGCGCCCCGGACAGGGACGCGATCCGAGATCGGCTGATCACGGCGTGCGACGGGAGTGGCGAGGCCGCTGGGGACGGGGAGGAGGCGCATCCGGAGGCGGCGGGCCAGGCGGTCGGGTTGAGGGGGGCGCCGTCTTTATCGACCTCGCAGCAGAAGTGCTGCCTGAAGAGGTCTGTGAACTGCTTGGAGAAGGCTTCGGGCGGGAGCACGTCATGTTGCGGGTGGTCTCGGGCAAAGCTCCGGTACTGTCCGGCCAGCTGCCGGGCTGCAGCGATGGCGTGCAGCTCACAGAACTCCCTCCAGCCTCTCGAGGGCACTGCTACACTCGGACCTCCTCCTGCTGAAGTGGCGTTGGCTGGATGGATAGTGTTACCATTCATTGCAGTAACCAGACTGGTTGAGAATCACTGCTGCAAGACATGGGGGGCAGAAAAGGGGAAATAGGGACAAAGATCAATGGATTATTAGAGTATGCAAGGATAGAGTTTGAGGCAAGAGAGCCAAACTGAATTTAGAGAGATAAAAGAAAAAGAAAGAGGATTAGTGTTGTGCAACACTAACTAGAGCCCTGTGCAAAAATGTCTTTGCAGCTAATTGAAGGTTCGCGTAACTTCCAGCATGTCAGTGGTGAGTCTTCAACAATAGAAATGAAATAGGTCTGCATACAATCTCTACTTATCAACCTTTCCGAGAGTATCCTCACAAACAAGGACGGCCAAACCTCACAGGACCAGAGGGGTTACTAGTTGGCTGTGGGAGACCTGTAGACCGAACAAGCAAGAACGCTGTGGAATTTTCTTTCTGAGATTTTGCCATCCAGTTGACGGTAATGTAAGTGGGAAAATATTCACATCACTGGCCAATTCCACTGGAATTGGGACTGAAGAATTTGAAAGAAACGGTAACGGGAACCAGGCAGACAGGCAGACAGTCAGCGAGGCCCCGAATGAGGAAGTATGGTTCGAAAATTTCTCAATCAACCACACAGCATACATGACCATCTGTGAGTTTGCGGACTGATATGTGACGTTTCAATGTTCCTTCTGCTTTCTGTCTTTTATGAAGTTAAAGATAGCTTAAGGCAGAAATCATAACTGTAAACCTTCCCTTATTCTTTAGCCGGTATCTAGCATATCCCTCTGTTCTTTTAGAAATGGGGATTTTTCTCTCACATGTACCTAGGCTGTTGTGGGCCTGCAATAGCACGGCTACGGTGTTTTTTTTCTCTCTTCTGCACATTGTTTCACTTCCCTGTTTGTGCCGATGCACAAAGACACAGATGCAGGCACATAAGCAATGCAGACTGATTTTAACACAAAGCCAACTTTGTATTAAACTATTTTTGGAGGGGGGGTTCAATTTATCATTGTATCAAGTAAAAGATCAAAAATAATAATAACGACTTAGTTAACGCTTAGTCTATAAAAAGTAACTGCAATATCAGTGCACAATTGTATTTTCATGGCAACAGGATTTGAACTAAATCACTATCTGGGGGCAGTCTATGAATCATCCATCTCTAAAAAGTTGACCACCAAAATGCCAACTGGCCACGAAAGTGGATACAGATAAATGCACACTTCTCACTTGCAAGGAGGCTCAATTTTCAAATGACTGTGATGCAGCATTTGGTCTGCGGTTGGTTGCACAAGCACACTCAGTCTGACTCCGCAGGTCTAACTTCACCTCAGCTTAGAGAATCACTGGAGGTGGCACAGTGGTCTGTCACAGGTATTCAACAATACGGAAAACTTTGAAAGCAAAGTTATTTGCCCTGCCCCATCAATCACACTGCATCACGCTGGGCAGCTGTAGAGCTGTTTGCTCAAAGCATCTCCTCGTGTACAGATGGGAACTTTATATGCTGTAAATCTTGGAGTGGTAGCAATTACATTCAACTGTAAACATTAGGGAAAATGGTGTAGTTCCATATCTATACTGCAAAATCGATTAGGTAACGTTAAACGCACTGATGGAGCGCACTACTGTGTAAACATTCATTTGCTTATTGATCGACTAATTTCCCTGTCCGGCTGCTAAAATATAGTTAGATGTGCCTTTTGTTTTCTCCTTAAGGTTTTTTGTGCATCAGTTTAACTCATTTCGAGGGAGTCTGGAGAAAACCTTTGAAGGACAAGACAGCAGTTCTTTGTGTAACAATTTTTTCATGGATGACAGCTTAACACAAAAGTAAAAGAATAATCTTAATCCAATTTGTTCGGTGCAACTGTTCCCTGACCCTCAAATGTACATAGAGCAAGCTTGATCAGAGAGTTTCATAATTTGAAGTTATTTGATTAGAAGCTGCTGACTTTGTGCAGCTGCCTACACTGGATGATGAGTAGCTGACATTTTTAGAAATACAGCAAACAAGTGGCATATCTCATCATTCAGGCTTAGAAAAGACATGCAGTTCTAAAGAGCCTGTTTTAAAAACACGTTATGTAACCATTGTTGCCCTGCTGTTGAATGCATGCTCTACATAATGAGAAGCTGAACATATGAATACACTCGCTGTTAAGCTAACTAACAAGGATTTAACATTCCTAAACTTCAGTTTGTGACTGGAGTACATACCAACTTCCTCCAGTGCAGCGGAGAAGGCTCTATTCTAAATACAGGAAGTATTAATGTGTCTGTGTGTGCGTGTGTGTGTGTAGATGGGTGTGTGGGTTAGTGTGGGGGGAGTCAGAAGACTGTGGTCCAACAGATCACAGAAAACCACAAGAAGCGGGGGTGGGGGGGTGGGGGGGGGGGGCTTGTTGTGGTCGGGCAAAACATGGAGCAGCATGTCCTGTTATCTTATGGCTATCATCTATCTCCGTGTCCTGAACGGCGGAGATGTGGAGAGGAAGACCCGCGAAATCGTGGGCAAGACTCTCTGAGCAGAGCTGGACCTTTCCCTCCCGTGTCTTCAGCATAGTACGTCAATGAGGTGGTGAAAACTTGGCATCGCGAAATATTGCGTCACTACGGTTCCTGGATGCGTCCTGTCACAACAACTAATTCCCTTCCTGTACTTTTCGGAGCATGCTCAGTGCATGCCCCCTTGTGCCCCTCCAGCTGGCCCCCCCCCAAAAGCCTGTTTCTATCTGCCTGGCCAGCCCAGCAATGACTCAGCAAGACTTACGACAGAACATGCACGCACGCATATGCACACACATATGCAGACACACACTTCCTCTCGCTGTGTCCCTTGGGGGGGCTTGGCCGTCAGCGTTCCCAGGGTTTTCCTTTTCTTTTCGCCCTCTCTTTCCTCTTGTGTCAGGCTCTCCAGATGTGTGTACTTTACTTTTACCTCAACTGAGGGCCACAGGGAAACCAAAAAAATGGCAAACACAGTCTTGTGTATCTTTTCTCTCCTCTTATCCAGGACCTCTAACCTCAACTTAATACTGTGTTATTGTATTATTGTTTCGCTAGACGGCGTTCAGCTGAGATGACAGAAAAGAAACATTCAGACACACAAGACTCAAACTGGAAAACACACTTGTACAGAGTCAGAGCACTTACTCTCCTGCTTTTCTTCCTCCCTAACCTTTTCCTCTGCTCTGTGAAACACTCACACCAGCAGCTATGGGGGAATCTGATGCCCGGTGAGACTCTGGACGAGTAGCAAACGCTGAAATCAGCTGCAACTCTTTAGAAAAGAAGACAAAGTATCCCGACCAAATGAATGCAACTGTCGATGATGACTTCCTGATTTTTTTTATATCTATTCTGATTGTAACTTAAAGATTTTTGCAACAACATAGCAAAACAATCAGTCTGAAAGGTATCATTTTGATTAAATCCCCAGTATCAGTGTGTTATCAGCCACAAAAGCACTGAAAAGAGTGACACGGTCACTCCTTTATCACCGTCCCTCAGGCACCAAAGGTGGGAGTAAATTATTTTCCCACTGTGAGCCGCCTAAAGTTGACGTAGAATCGACGAGGGCTGAGGAAGTGTGAAATACATGTGAAATCATCCTGTAAGCACAAGTAACCTCATTCCACATGTCGGCTCACTGTGCTGGTTTTAACATAACCTTGAATCGGCCTCAGGACGTATTGGGGAAGCGAACATGTGACGCCGTGGTATGTCATTCCCGCTGAACGCCGGCGGCTGAATGCTCAGACAGCATAAAACGGGAGAGCTAGCAGCGCTATTGCAGCATCCTGGCTGCAGCCTACTGGGAGCCAAGCCAAACGCAATTTCCTTACAACCAGCATTGCTAATTCCTAAATGCAACAATGATAAATAAGCCCCCTAAAAGAGAGGGAAGAGGGCGCACATTTTACTGCAAAAGCAATAAATTCAAATTTGCAAAAACGAGGGCTTATACAACACGCTGATAGCTATCAGTGCTGCTGGTGGAAGCCCAACTACTGGGAGGTGCTATTTATATCTCAAGAGCATGGTATCAGCTCTCACACAGTGCTGTGTGCTCCTTGTTGTGGCCTGTCGGGATCAGCTTGTTTGATGAGATGCACACAGAAACACACATGGTCTGTCAGTTTTCAGGTCATGAAGTCATGGCGGGCATGTCAATATGCCTGCCATGCTGAGTGGGTTAAGATGCAGTAACTCTGGTGGCCGCTAGTTGCTGGACACTATCAAGTGGAGTCAGCCCAGTGGAAGTAAAGATACCGATGCGAAACCTTACCTTGTGTTTTTATCTTTACGGATTAGGGTTATGATTCATCATTTTAGAAGGTATGGTCTACTAAACTGACCTGATGGCTTCTGAAAGTGTGTGACAGGAAGGATTATTTACACACCAACACCTAAACTGAAATGATGAGTCAACCAAAAACAACCTGTTCTGCTTTTTCTAAAAAAAGTCTTTACAGCCCAAATATCACACATTTGTTGTCGATAGCTTCCCCGTGACATTTTCGTCTTGTGTGATATCAACTTTTTATGAGAGGAATCTGCAATGACCACTTTTTGCAAATTTTTGATGAATTGCAAAGAAAATGGTCGGCGAAACTAATGGTTACTGGAAAAATGCTTAAATTGAAAACTAGGTTCCATCAGCCAATGTAAAATGATACATTTCCCTGAAGCATCTGCAAGCATCTACATCACAAAAATCGACAAGTTCGTGATGACAGCATCGAAACATTTCCAGAAGGTAAGATAATGAGGCAAAAGCTGTACAGACTCTATTGTATTGCAAGAAAGACTAAGGTTGGATCAGCGATAACCGTATATTCTGATTGTGTAAAGTGCAACGACAGTCCTGGAATTTGGAACGCGTCCATAAATACTCACATTTAACGCTTAAGGACTTTGCACGTGTTATCAAGTCACATCACACAGAAAAAAGCACAATCTTAAAGCACTGACCTATGATTCCTGACAACAAAT